ATAAACCTGGCTGACATGCCTTCGTACCACACTGGAGTCTGTGGTCATTGGGGGTTCTCTGGGGGTCTGCTGTGCCAGTGATCTGCAGAGCCAGGGCAGCACACAGAGGGAACACACGCACGCACGCACGCAGCCGACTGATATCAAAATCGAGCAAGAGCAGAGCACCACACCGGTGGCATCTGACAATAGCCATCACCTTCAGCCCCCAAATAAAACCTCTCCAGCGCATCATCAAAGATCTACAACCTATCCTGAAAGACGATCCCTCACTCTCACAGATCTTGGGAGACAGACCAGTCCTTGCTTACAGACAGCCCCCCAACCTAAGCAAATTCTCACCATCAACCACACAACAAAAACACTAACCCAGGAACCTATCCTTGCAACAAAGCCTGATGCCAACTCTGTCCACATATCTATTCAAGTGACACCATCATAGGACCTAATCACATCAGCCACGCCATCAGGGGCTCGTTCACCTGCACATCTAACAATGTGATATATGCTGTCATGTGCCAGCAATGCTCCTCTGCCATGTACATTGGCCAAACTGGACAGTCTCTATGCCTCTGTCTTCACTAACAAGGTCAGCTCCCAGACTGCTGCGCTGGGCATCACAGCATGGGGAGTAGATGGCCAGCCCTCTGTGGAGAAAGAGGTGGTTAGGGACTATTTAGAAAAGCTGGACGTGCACAAGTCCATGGGGCCGGACGCGTTGCATCCGAGAGTGCTAAAGGAATTGGCGGCTGTGATTGCAGAGCCGTTGGCCATTATCTTTGAAAATTCGTGGCGAACGGGGGAAGTCCCAGATGACTGGAAAAAGGCTAATGTAGTGCCAATCTTTAACAAAGGGAAGAAGGAGGATCCTGGGAACTACAGGCCAGTCAGCCTCACCTCAGTCCCCGGAAAAATCATGGAGCAGGTCCTCAAAGAATCAATCCTGAAGCACTTACATGAGAGGAAAGAGATCAGGAACAGTCAGCATGGATTCACCAAGGGAAGGTCATGCCTGACTAATCTAATCGCCTTCTATGATGAGATTACTGGTTCTGTGGATGAAGGGAAAGCAGTGGATGTATTGTTTCTTGACTTTAGCAAAGCTTTTGACACGGTCTCGCACACTATTCTTGTCAGCAAGTTAAGGAAGTATGGGCTGGATGAATGCACTATAAGGTGGGTAGAAAGTTGGCTAGATTGTCAGGCTCAACGGGTAGTGATCAATGGCTCCATGTCTAGTTGGCAGCCGGTATCAAGTGGAGTGCCCCAAGGGTTGGTCCTGGGGCCGGTTTTGTTCAATATCTTCATAAATGATCTGGAGTATGGTGTGGATTGCACTCTCAGCAAATTTGCGAATGATACGAAACTAGGAGGAGTGGTAGATACACTGGAGGGCAGGGATAGGATACAGAGGGACCTAGACAAATTGGAGGATTGGGCCAAAAGAAATCTGATGAGGTTCAATAAGGATAAGTGCAGGGTCCTGCACTTAGGACGGAAGAACCCAATGCACAGCTACAGACTAGGGACCGAATGGCTAGGCAGCATTTCTGCGGAAAAGGACCTAGGGGTGACAGTGGACGAGAAGCTGGATATAAGTCAGCAGTGTGCCCTTGTTGCCAAGAAGGCCAATGGCATTTTGGGATGTATAAGTAGGGGCATAGCGAGCAGATCGAGGGACGTGATCTTCCCCCTCTATTCGACATTGGTGAGGCCTCATCTGGAGTACTGTGTCCAGTTTTGGGCCCCACACTACAAGAAGGATGTGGATAAATTGGAGAGAGTCCAGCGAAGGGCAACAAAAATGATTAGGGGTCTGGAACACATGACTTATGAGGAGAGGCTGAGGGAACTGGGATTGTTTAGTCTGCAGAAGAGAAGAATGAGGGGGGATTTGATAGCTGCTTTCAACTACCTGAGAGGTGGTTCCAGAGAGGATGGTTCTAGACTATTCTCAGTGGTAGAAGAGGACAGGACAAGGAGTAATGGTCTCAAGTTGCAGTGGGGAAGGTTTAAGTTGGATATTAGGAAAAACTTTTTCACTAGGAGGGTGGTGAAACACTAGAATGCGTTACCTAGGGAGGTGGTAGAATCTCCTTCCTTAGAAGTTTTTAAGGTCAGGCTTGACAAAGCCCTGGCTGGGATGATTTAATTGAGGATTGGTCCTGCTTTGAGCAGGGGGTTGGACTAGATGATCTCCTGAGGTCCCTTCCAACCCTGATATTCTATGATTCTATGAAAAGAATAATTGGACACAAATCTGACATCAGGAATCATAACATTCAAAAACCAGTAGGAGAACACTTCAACCTCTCTGGTCACTCGGTCACAGACTTAAAGGTGGCAATTTTGCAACAGAAAAGCTTCAAAAACAGACTCCAACGAGAAACTGCTGAACTGGAATTAATTTGAAAACTAGATACCATTAACTTGGGCTTGAATAGAGACTCGTAGTGGTTGGGTCATTAAAAAATTGAATCTATTTCCTTATACCTTCTTATCAAACTGTCTGAAACGGGCCATCTTGATTATCACTACAAAAGTTTTTTTTCTCCTGCTGATAATAGCTCATCTTAACTAATTAGCCTCTTAGAGTTGGTGTGGCAACTTCCACCTTTTCATGTTCTCTGTATGTATATATATCTTCTTACTATACGTTCCATTCTACGCATCTGATGAAGTGGGCTGTAGCCCACGAAAGCTTATGCTCAAATAAATTTGTTAGTCTCTCAGGTGCCACAAGTACTCCTGTTCTTTTTGCGAATACAGGCTAACATGGCTGCTACTCTGAAACCTGTCATTAATTTATGTCAGCTATACAACTAATGATCTGAACTAAACTACTTACTAAACACTTACTAAACAATAGCTTCCCAAACCTGTTTGAGAAAGTGACTTTGACTTATCTTAAACTTGTTGCTTTACAGTAACAGAAAAGGATTCACTTTCAGGGACACAGATAGAGTTAACAGACCACTTATCTAGTATTCCCCTGGCTGTTATTTCATAGTAGACTTCTGTCCATTATGCAAGGCAGGTACTCTCACGTAGCTTTTTACATGAGCAGCATTTTGAAGTCAGCACAGCACTTTGAACCTCACTAAAGAACGAGATACATAGGTTAAATAAAATCTAAACTGTCTCAAACAACTACTTTTTATATAATATTAATAAAGCTTTGCTTGAAGAATGGCCTGCAGGCATTCAGCCTGTGGTACGCTGCATTTGATTAACAACCAGGGGTTAAAGTGAAGGGAATTTGGAGTGTGAGAATGGAAGCACAGCTTCTGCTCCTCTCTCTGGCTTGGGTTCCCCAGTGAACCCTTTCTTCCTTGGCTGGGCAGCTGGGAGCTCCCTCTCAGGGTTCAATCTACTTGGGTGTGTCACTGTTGATACTCGTTTCCTTATGTTTTTTCCACACAATGTTGGTGTTGAAAGTTTATGCTAATAGCTGTGTTTCTCCCTGTCATTACTGAGTTTCTATCATTGGCACAAGTAAGTGATTCAGTACATGGAACTCTTTTTTAAAAACTGGTACTGAACCAAAGCTCTAGAATGATGCTAGGGATGGGCAGTGTGCAGTATCTTTTAAATGAGACACAAAATTTAGTTTCTGGCCAATGGATGATGTCCTGTGACTTACTGTAACTAAAGAGCCAATGAAATTTGCTTCAGAGCAGGGGTTTTTACACCACTTTGCCATATTTTAATTGTGGTGATTATTCTGCCTATCTAAACACCCTCTGAATTATCAATTGTGTATGATATTCTTCATGTTCAGTTCTAAGCTGTTACTATTTTACACCTTAGAGGTGGCTGCACTTCACTAATGTGTGAAACTTTCAATAGGACGGCCTACTTGATGGCCCCACCCAAGAATCACCTGGCTAGTGCATTAGCTTATTTTGTATTGGTAACATATCAGGATATCCTGGCAGTGAATGTGGAAATCTGGCCCCACCAGCATCACTCTGGCACTGTTTCAGAGACAGAGAGTGGAGAATTTTATGGTGGCTAAGTGGCCTGACAAGCCTTTTCAGCCTTCACACCAACTCTGGGGACAAAATCCCTGCCCCCACTATACCCCTTCCCCCAAACCCCCTCCGTACCCCTGCTGCACCATCTCCCCCAAGCCCCTGCCCCTTTCTGGATTCTGCCCCCTCCCGTGAGTGATGCTGGGAACCAGCAGGGCAGGGTCGCTCGCTGCTGCCAGCACCAGACCCCCCACTAACCCTCCAGGCCACCCTGAACCCCATATCCTTATGGGTTGCCTTCGCCCGTCCTATGGATGGGACGGCCCTGACTGTGGGTTAGATACTCACAATACAGTGCCAGAGCAGACACTGCACTGTTGGACAAGTTCAGTCACACAACGCAGGTTGTAACGGAGCAATTCTTTCACATAAACAAGATTAAAGTGCTATCATACGCAGGATGCAAACAAAATGAAAACATTTTCCCCTAATCTGTTGTAGAACAATAGTTGTTACTTATAACAATGAAGGTGGGGAAGAGACAAATGTGATTAAATTGACAACATCTCCAGGAGGCCCCATTTAGATTTTATTCAAGGAAATAACTTTTTAGTTAAGGGAATTTTTTTTGTTTTAATTTATCATCTGAGCTTTGGCAACCCAAACATTGCAATATTATGCTAGGCCATAAGAACAAGCAAAACCTGCCCTCGGTTGTATATTTGCACGGCAACAACAGGGCACCGGGTGCTTTCAGACTAATCAGTTTCAATTTTGCCTGCCCTCTAATTTTCGTTTTGCGCAGCCAGACAGGATCAAAGGGACCAGAGGAGAGAGAACGCCGCAAACTTGCCCCCTTCAGTCCTAGGGCTTGCGCAGAGCAGGCAGGGACGTGTATCTTTAACAGAGACGAGGTCTGATCGCTGGTGCGGAAGGAAGAAGGGGCTGATGAGAGGCGGCCCTCGCCTATCTCCCCCACGCCAAAGCAGCCTCGCGGGGCTCCCACTCGGGGAACTGCACCCTCCCCCCGACCAGGATAAGGCGGGCAGGTGGTGGCAGCCGGACCTTTCGCTGTCTGTGCCCCGCCTCTCGAGCGGCCTGGGCTCTCAGTCCCCGTCTCTCCCCACCTGTAGGGCTCTCCGCCCGGCCTTCCGCATGCCCTAGTGGTGGGTTGGGGGAAGTGGAGCCCGGAGCAGCCGGGGAAAGAGGAAAATTCCAGCGCGAAGGAAGGCCGGCCCTGCCCCGCCTCCCCGCGGCGGGGAGAGGAGCGAGAGGCTGCGCTGGCCGGGGCGGAGTGGGGCTGTGCCGGGAGCAGGGAACCCTGCGAGCGGCTGGGAGGGAAGCCGCTGTTCAGCCCGAGCCGGAGCGGCAGGGGAAGAGCGGCCCGCGGCGGCAGCAGCAGCAGGGGACGGCTCCGCCTGTCGAGTTTTCCAAGGTGTGGTTTGTAACGCTCCCCATGGCTGCCCTGGGGGCGGAGGGGGGGATACTCGCGCCCCGGGGTGCGGCTGGCGCTGGGCTGCGGAGCCGCGACGTCTCCCGGAGCCCCTTGCAAACAGGTGACGGGGGAGGAGGGCAGCCGAGGAGCTGTGCCGGGCGCGCCTCCCGGCCAGCGTGGAGTCCCGCCGCGGCCCGGCCGGAATGGAGCCCAGTCAGCTGCCCCGGGGGGCCAAGCGCTGCGCGCCCAGCCCAGGGAACGGGCGCCCGCGTCTGGCGGGCAGCAGCAGCCCTGCCTCCCTGCGGGTAAGCACAGCAACTCATGGCAAGTGTGAGGGCCCCAACCCCGCGTCTCGTGTGCGCAGGCACCGCCGTCCTCTGCTGCTGGCTCGCGTGGGCTTTCACTGGCCGTTGCCGAGCTGCAGGCAGCTGCTCGCCTCTTTCCCCTGGGCGAGGTTACCGGGTCTGCGCGGATTGGAAAGTGGAAGTTCTGCTGACGGGAAGGGGGAGGGCGGAGTAGGTGCCCGCAGCACCTTGAGCAGGGCACATCCACCCCCTCAGCAACAAAGGGCCGTTGTGGAACTGTAGCTTTTGAAAGGTAATACCTGGGGACGATTATGGCTGCGCCTCGGCACGAGGCAGCTCTCTGGGTCTCTGAAAGGGGCTGCAATTGTGACTATCCTGACTGCCGGAATCAAACGCAGTAAATGCTTGTTTCTAAACGCGAACCATCTTGAAAGGGAAACAGACTTGAAAAAGACTAAAGCAATACTTCAGACAACGCTGGTTGGCTGGCAGATACTAAGTGATTGGGTCCTTCAGCTATAACTTTCTTCACTCTCTCTCTTTATCCAGTGCTCTTACGGTGTCACCTGAAGTAGAGTTCATATGATGAAGTATCACGTAAACACACATGTTGATTGTATTTCGCATTTGTGGAAACAAAATGGGGGGGGAAAAGTTAGTTTTGCAAAACAAACAAAAACCCCAACAGTTTGACGATGAGATTAGTTGGAGATGAACACAAGCATTCACCTTGTCAAGAATAGGAACCAAAACTATGAACCTTGAACCAAAAGAATCGGAGAACTTTCATATGCTTGTTTTCTCTCCTCATGAGGCAAGTTGTTCTGTCGTTGAGGTAAATAATATTTTACTCAAATGGCTAGATAATACAAAGACACACACTCTTGCTTCCGTGTTAAGAAAAACAAGCTACTTGGAATTCATATTGGGATTATTTAATGGGTGTAGCTGTAATTTTCTCTTAGAATGTTATGAAAGGAATTTCTTCAGAAGCAAGTCAGTACCTGCTTATTCATATCCTTGCCCATGTAATGGTTGGTGATAGGACTAGAAAATTCTCAGGACCCCAAAACTCTAGTTACAGTGCTATCTAACAAATGTTTAATTACATAGAAGAAAAATTCCTCAGGACACTGCAGCTGAAGCATTGCAGCAATGTGCTAATGTATGAGGGCCAGGAAATTAACTGAATATTGGGAAAAGTGAAGCTAATTGTTCAGGTCTTTGGTAATTGTCCAATGTGAAATGCAAAAAGTGGACAGACAGCTTCAGTATGAAAAAATGAAAACCAGTTTTTAAAATTGTCTGTCTGTTTTAACAATCTAAAATCCTTTTAGTGTCACAGATAAGAAAATTTTACTTTTTATTTTCTTTTACTTGACAGTGCTGATATGAAATACCATTGGTGCAGATCAGTTATTTTAGTTGTAGGCATTTTCAGTTCTGTGTCATTTCTAATGCGCTAACATTGTGGTCATTCTGTCTTTTTTGCTTATCTTCCTTTCTTATCTGTATGGTTAAATCCATGATAGTTCATGTTTTTTTCTTTAAAATTTGAGTGGCCAGCATAGTAATGCTTTAATATGTAGATGGAAGTAGTGTATACTTTTTGTAAAATTAATAGAAACAAAATCTGGAATATAAATAGATGAGAGATTGATCATTGAGGAAGAAAATACAGTAAGTGCTGTCATAAACAAAATTACTCTTGCTCTGTTTTGGGGAATTAGGGAGCTAAGAGGAATCAGATATACAAAATGGCAAAAAGGGGAGGATCATTGGCCTGAATGCCTGTAAGACTCATTCTCTTAGTTAGGGACTGCAGGTGTTCAGCACCGTTGATAATCAGGCCATATATTCCAAAGTAATACAATTTACTTTCCAGTTTTTATAAATGAACACACTTATGTATTGACATAAACACTTTCTGGAATGTGAGACTATAAATGGGAATACAATTATTTGATTTAAGATTATTAGATTAGCAGAAGAAGAAAATAAAATTTGGATTTCTGGATAGATCTGTTTCAAGTCCCATATATCCACCTCATTTATGAATCTCTTGGGAACAGGTATTTATAAAATTATGGCCTTGTAGCAAGCCTATACTTATTATTAATAAGTCATTAAGAACTGATATTTAAAAGAGGGATAAACAGTTAATAGAGGTAGAACAAGAGAGGGTTATTTCTTGTGTTTACAAGACTTCGGGCATGCAAATCAAGTTTTCGTTGCTCCAGCAAAAGGGCAAGCACGTAATAGTAATGTGAGAACATGCAAATAGTGCATTATAACTGTACTTCTGAAATCTTTTAAGTTCCTTGTTTATACTTATTTCATTTTTAAAAAAGTTTGAATTGCTAGATGATGCCATTTCAGTTGTTCTTACAATTTCCTTAGGCCTGAAGCATGTCATATATTACTTTTGGTGAATTATGACTTGAATTCTGGTTCCTATATTTTTGCTGTAAATCAGTAGAATAGCCTGTTTCTTTAATACCTCTTAAAATATCTGTCAGCAAGTGCATTTCATTTTTTAAAAAAGTGCAGCTAATAAAACTTACTCTGTTTAGCACTGCAGGCATATTTACAGGCAACTTAACAACTCTGAAATAACTGTTGCTTTGAAAATTAATGTTGTCATTGTTTCTTCCTAGCTCATTTCAACTGGGTCCATCTATTAGCAGTTTTAATTATTTCCTGAAGGTGGTCTGAGTTTGCTGACCAAAATATTGAGTTTCAAAGAAATGTCTGTTTGTACAGTTATTCTTTAATGTAGTTTTTTCTGACTGTCCAGCTACTAAAACAGCACACTGGTCCAACTTAACCGGTAATTTTCTGAAATAAGGACTGCAGAATCAGGTCTTAGATAAAAAGTGTAAATCCATGCTTATATCATAGAAATATAAATTCTGGTTGGTAGAAGTATTTTTATTTAAATTTTAGAATTGTTGTATATATTTAACTTTTATAACAAAAAATGCACCATGAGACTCATCAGTGTTTTATGTGCTTTCTGTTGTCTAAAATATCCCTTTTAGAATCGGGACTATCAGTTGTCCCTTTTTATGTTTGAAAACTTTATTTTCCTTCTCCTTTGTTTCACATAGAGTTGGAAAAAAATAGCTGTTTTATTAATTGCATCAAAATGGTGGATTTTAATTCTGTTGTTCTTCTCTCATATGCCCGGTTCTCCAATGATTCTGAGAGTTCTGTGTAAGTAGAGGAAGCAGAATATAAAAGCTAAGATGCTTTATACAATAATTATGCCCTCCTGTACATGGGTTCAAATGACTGGTGCCCCTTTTTAAAATTATTTTTCAAATACTTTCAATTTTTCAAGCATGTTGTATTAAACTAATTTAATAACTTAGACGTCTGTGTGTGCTTCTTGTCCCATCTGTTGCTATTCATGTTGGTCCATAATTGTGCTGGTTGCTAGCCACCAAACTTTGATTTGATAATGGTTTAAGAAATAAAAGGGTTAAAAAGTTAACTTCTGAAAAGGAGGATCCAGTGAAATGCTTTTGTACACCAAAACGATTCCTAATCCTCCATCTGAATGAAGTTGTTGGAAAGATTGTGTAATCTAGAAAGGACAGGATTTGGAATAGTGATTTCCTTTGATTAAATTACCAAATAATAAAGTAACAGCCTTATGTTTTTGTCTTACTCATACAGTCAGGTGGACTTAGAGACAATGCTGCTAATCCCGGTTAGTTAGCAATCAGTTGTTGGTGATGAAATGCATTTTAAACAGCCTCTAAAGAAATCGCTGGGCACACTTATTGATAAATGTTCGAGTTTAGAAAATTAATTTGTGCTAAATTTGAAATCTGATACCTTTTGAAACCCTTAATTCTAGAAAATTGATAAAGGTATTTTTTTTTTTTTTGGCTGGAAACTTATATATGATTTAGCATTGGTGTAATGGTCTTCAGTGATGTATTTACATGACTTTGTTCTTTGGAATTTTTACCATCTGTTACGCTGTGATGGGCTTTGGGAGAAGTTTCTCATGATTATTTCCCAAAGGTTAAATGTTTGCATGCATTCTTGTACCTATTGAGGGGAAAAATCAATCATTTGATAGAAACTACTTTTTTCTGGTATCTTTGGGGAAAAAAGGGGGTAAATTTGACCAGTTTCTCTTCGGCTGGGGTTGAATTCAGAGTAGGTAAGAATGTCGAGATTTATAGCTTCAGGAAAAAATATTCTTGACCCTTGTGAGCTGCAGTATGCATTATACCAATACTCGAGTGAGTTTGACATTTTGTAGTGATGTGAATAAAATATCATTAGCTGGTACATCCTTATGATCTGTCATGGTGGAAGACAGACAAGTAGATTTTGTGCTTATGTTGGTAAATTCTAGAGGCAATTTTGCAAACAGGTATATAGCTAACCTGATTATTTTTCTTTGGAAGATCAAAATAGGATTAATTTGTACTATCAAAAGTTCTATTTATTACATAATTTTAAATTAAAGATAAAATGGTTTCTGACAGAATACAGGCACATTCGCTTTCCAAACAAAAACACTAAAAATGTCGCACAGCAAAAAGCAGACTTATGCAAATGCTGGGGAAAATTCTCTTCACTGGAGGGGTAGAAAGAGCTTGGCAAAAGAGAGAGGGGAGGGAGCTGAGCCATCAATTTCTACAGTATTTAAACTTCCATTTTAAAATAATGTTC